AAACCCTAGGCCCTAGACCCTAAAACCCAAACCCTAAACCCCGAACCCTAAATCCTAAGCCAAAATGTTCACCGAGTTTCCGGCGTCAAGTCAACCGCTGGATCTCCCATCTTCCTCATCACGGTGGATCCGATTGAGACAGTTACCTGAGAAGTTTCTAATTGGGGTTAGGGACAAATTGAATTGAGGGTGTACGGTTAAGTTGAAGGTCAATGGGTGAGGGTTTAGGGCTACCATAGGGGAGGATCAAACAGAACATAAGACGCAACATGAAATGGGAAGTGGATTTTTTGTGGTGTTCTTGAGGATGTTAAGCACCTGAAGATGGATTTCTGCTAGAGGGAGGTTATCTGCTTTACTAGGCCGCTTAGGGATTCAGGGCTAGAGTTTAGGGGTTAGGGTTTAGGGTTTAGGGGTTTAGGATTTGCGGTATCATATACCCGTATTAGGGTAACTTGGCTTAAGTTCCTCTCAACCCTGCCAGGTTACGTAGAACGCAATACTGTGCACCATGGGTGGTGCAACTCCAGTCGCTTGGATGACGAAAAGAACGAGCATGAAGCAATCTAGCACTAACGACCAGAGGCTGGCAATCCTGAGTTGATCGGGAACTTCAACTAAATGACCATCATTTGGAGATATAGAATACATATATATATATATGTATACATATACTAAACCCTAAACACTAAACTCGACAGAGAGAAAGAGAGAGAGAGAGAGAGAGAGAGAGCAAGTATGAGGGCTCCTTGCTGTTGCCGGATGCTGGCAATCCTATGTTGCTCGGGACTTAAGCTGACTTACCAGCATATGGATACATGATCAGTTACAGGGTTTCCTTATGGAGAATAATTGAACGTCAGATCCTTAAGCCTAAACCCTGAAACCCTTAGGGATAAGGGTTTAGGGTTTAGCCGCAAACTCAAAACCCAAAACCCAAAACCCTTAGTAGCCCAGACTCTCTTGTAGAGAGCTACGCCGGCGTTGATGCACGTGCTTCTCAGCTGCCGCACTAACCTGGGTTGCCGTTAATCGGGTTTAGGGTTTAGGTTTAGGGTTTCATAACGTTTTGAATTTTGTTACTGTGATACGGAAACCCATTCTTGACTATATACCCGAATTATGGTAACTTAAACCCTAAACCCTAGACCCAGGAACTGCTTCCACTCCGAAGGTGAACTTCGACAACAAGCGGCCATAGAACTGGCCTTAGTTATGGTTTAGGGTATAGGGTTAGTTCATCTTGCCAGCAGAAGAAAAAGGATCTCTTTGCAGATGTAAAGTAAAATAAGGTTTAGGGTTCCGGGTTCAGGTTTAGGGTCAACCCTAAACCCTAAGCTCTTGAACCGTACCCAGCACCTCCAAAAACGAAAAGGGGGGATCCTTTTTGATTGACCCAGTGGCATTCACCAACGAAACCACTGGTCATCTTCCTGGGTTGCTGTTAAAGAGCTAAACGATGTCTTTCATAAAAGGGCATTTTTTGTAACCAATAGGGTTTCCTAACTTTGGTAGCCAATTTAAGTTACTATAGTAAGGACACATGGTAAATCATAGGGCTTCCTAACTTTGGTAAGTGAATTTAAGGTCCTGAAGAATCCTTAACATCCGCCCAGCTGCAAGGTGCGTTGTGTCCAGCTGTGCAATGCTGTAAGCCCATAGGCGCAGATGATTATTTGCCCGGCCACAGCCGGAGACAACTGAAACCCCACCATCGAGGTATCCATTGTGGACGCAAACAGCCAAAAAGCTGCTCTGATCCTCTTGTTGAGGAAGCTTGAAAAAGCTGGAATGGGGATCCGAATCGACACATGGATCCTTGAGGACAAAAGGCTACGGTCATGGATGAATGAAGATGATTGAGGAGCAAGAGATTATATGAGCTGCGGTCAATATTTCCTACATAATTCAAGACATGGGTTCCTCATAAGGGGCTACACTAAACCCCAAACCCATGACCCTAAGCCCTAAATCCTAAACCCTTAACCCTAAACCCTAAACCCTATACTAAACTACAAGAGGGAACTCTATGCACACTGTTACGGGTCCCCTAATAAAGCTAATATTGACAGTAGCTTTTATCCTAGGGACTCTCAGGACCCCCACTACCTGGTACCCCACTACCCATTTAGACCCAAATGCAGAAGGAATATGAGCCATTGTCTAGACTCCCCTTAATAACCCCTACAGGAGTACCCTATATAACCCCATATATAAACCCCTTTCAGGAGTTTAGATTATAGCTCATATGGCCTCAATAGTGGTGGGGTACTAGGTAGTGGGGGTCCAGGGAGCTCCCTAAACCCTAAACCATTTTATCGACCCTAGACCCTAAACCGTGCATTTGTATTAAGGGTTTGGGGCTTAGGGTCATCAGTGGCGACTCCTCGTTATGTCATGAAGACTGCTGGGCAGAAATGAGTAGCCCTAAGCCATACGTCTTAACCACAACACCACATGAGCCATGGTCTAAACTCCTAGGATCCTCCTTAAATAATCCTCAAACCCTAAACCCTATATATATATATATCTAACTCTCTTCAACGAGTTCGGACCCTAAACCTTCAATCCTGCACCCTAAACAACAGGGCGTCATAGAATCCCCTATAACCCCCCTGTACGGAGTTTAGAATATGGTGAACATGGGGAATTCCCCAAATTAGGGGTACGAGTTTGGGGGTCCCTATAGTAAGGAGTACACGTAGTGTTTTGGGGTCTACATTGGCGTTCCCCTATTTCGGGAAACTACCACATCCCTGCTTGGATGTTTTTTCAAGCAGCACGCAGGCACGCAGCCGTAAAAACTTTTAGGCTCTAGGGTTTAGGGCTTGTAGAAACCCGAGGGATCTACGTTAGGGGTTTAGGGTTTATAGGGATTATAAGGTTTAAGGTTTAAGGATCACAGAGGGTTGCCAAGAGTCTCTACTCGGGGTTCTTGTCGAGGTACTGTTGTTTTTAGAAACTGTTGCTTGCGCTCTGGCTGCATTTATTCTACTCACGCCTTCACTTGAAATGCCCGCAAACCCACAGATCTACGCGAGTGACATGGTTCCAAACAGCGCTGTATAAGTCCAATCAGAGGAAACCGCAAACCTTCCAACCCTAAACCCCAGACCCTAAACCCTAAACCCCAAACCCTAAACCCCAAACCTTAAATCCCAAACCCGAGGAGTTACCTTCAGCCCCAGAGCTTCCACTTGAATGGCAACGCCGTCAAGAATCTTGAAAAGCACGCGGCATCTTGAACTAGAACTCGGGTTTAGGGTTCAAGGGTTTATGGTTTTTTGGTGGTTTAGGGCGTGGGGTTTAGGACTTGCGGAAATTCGTTAACTCTGTCTTGGGTTTAGGTAGGATCCTGCGCCCATCCACTAACGGTCTATGATAGGAGGCATACAATGGGCTCTCCATAGTTATATTCCCAGGGAGCCCGATATAGTTTGATTAAGGACTTCACCCTAATTCATACGAAGGGTCCTAGCATTTAAGATATATTCCTTAATCAAACTAAATTGGGCCCCCCTCTGAACCCTAAACCCTGACCCCTAAACCCCCTGAACCCTAAACCCCCTAAACCCTTAACCCCGTATTATGGAGCTGTTAATGACTGGGGCAGTATCCAAGGTTAGGGGCTCACGGAAATTCTCCTGCACTTAACAATATCCAGGGTACAAGCGGCTCTTACCGCCCAAGCTTAAAGGTTTAGGGTTCAGTGTTTGGGGTTTCGGGTTTAGTGCCTAGGATTGAGTTAGGGGTAGGTCATTTCCCCTTACAGGAACCATCCTTCCAGGGGTCTTGTTAAGGGGCCATTAGAAGTCTTATTGCGCAAGCAACTATTATTGTAAGGGTGTTTGACCTAAGGTGTATGATATGCCCTTCCAAACTGACATGGAACCCCCAAAAAGGCCCGGTGAAGACTACTGTCTTTACCATTGCGGACGCTAAGCCCTAGACCCTAAACCCCAATTTTGGTTTGGGCAGGGGGCAGGAGTAAGGCTTTGGCTTCAAGGTTGTAAGTCTCGAAGATAGCATGCGGGAGTTTCTTTAATTTATGCAACCCCTATGACATGTGGGGTTTAAGGCTTATGGTAGCCTATATGGTCTTCTTAAGTAAGCACCCAGCCCTAAACGAAAAAAAACATAAGTAGACCCCACACCCTAAACCATGTTCAGACAAGAGTCAGCGCAGCCCGAAACGCCTCCCATGATTGGGAGCTGCCCGCTGCGCGACACGCGGCCAGTCTACTGTAGTTTGGCCCTCCCCCTAACAACCACGGAGCCTAAGCCGGACCTTATTCAAGTGGACCGAAGTTTGTGTACGGAATTTTCGGGCTGCACGTCTGCTTGGGAGAGTGCAGAGCCCTTTCGGTGTGGTGCTTTGGAGGTATTTTCTGGCAACTTAACGAATAACATGAGGGTTGCTTTGGAGAGTCTAGGGGGCAGGTTTTCATCACCCTGGACCCTGAAACCCTAAACGTAAGGTCAACTACCAGGCTGGTCTATCTGAACCCTTGAAACCCTAAAGATGCACCAAATGGGTTGTTCGCAGAATTATGACCCCTTTTTGGCTATACCTCATATTTAGGGGTACCAAGAGGGAACCCTAATTGCGCGAACCCAACCCCAAATTACCCTAAACCCTAAGCCCAAAAACTCTAAACCCCAAACCCTAAACGCTGAACACTAAAGTACAACGCCAAACCTTAAACCCTAAACGCTAAACCCTGAAGTACTATAAATTAAACCTTAACCCCAAACCCTACATATCTAATCCTTCAAGTTCCCTTTGGGCATCTTGGAAAGGATGTGTTGCAAGCTTGGAATGGCTGCGCACAAATCAATGTATCGGTAAAGCTGGCTCAGGGCTTAAGGTTTGGGGCTTGGGGTTTAGGGTTTAGGGTTTGGGGTTTAGATTGGGGTGCCTCTCAAGGTCTTGTGAAGTTGTGTAAGTGGGTTGTATTATGAGATTTGAGATTTCCGAAACAATTTTTTTGGTGCAAAAAAGAAACATTGCCCCCCTACCGTATGCCCTAAACCCCAAAGCTAAACCCCAACCCCTGTTTTTGGAAACTCCCAAATCAGCTTGTAGAGAAGTTCGCAAGCCAGTGTCAACTCATAGACAAGGGTTATACAAATACGGTTGAAGGTTTCGGCTTTAGGTTTTAAGGTCTAGGGTTTAGGGTGGCGAAACAAGCAAAATGGTTTCCAAACATATGCATCGTTCTGACTCTGGACGCGGAAAGTTGCAAAGCTTCTGTACGGACGAACCTATGCCCGCTGAACATGAATATCCTCTCTACAGGCACCTCAAAACTAGACCTTTTTCCCTGAACCCTAAAACCCTAAAACCTATACCCTATACCTTTAACCTCCCCACCCCAAAACATGCATTCATTGAGATATACCGTCAAGGGCACGCTGACTTTAGGCTTGTAGTAGGCTTATACGTGGCGGGTTTAGGGTTTAGGGCTTAGGGAACCTAGATGCGTAGCACGGCCATGCAATGCTGATATGGGGAGAAACTACCCAGCTGGAAATTCTCTTCGACTTGCTGATGCCTT